TTATTGACCAAAGGTGTAGGCTGAAGCTAAAGCTTATTATGCCTACTCTTACTCCACACAAGCAGCACTAATGGACATACATTTAATATAAAAAATATTGAGTATTCTGAATATATATTCAGAAGAACATGCATTATGATTATTATTATTATTTTCCTTATTATTATCATTATTGAGTATATCTTTTTATTACCATTATTTTATAAAGTATTTTAAACTGTGGTAATGAAGTAGCCATTTTTATTTCATCAGGAAAACTATTCCACAACTGAACACCTTTATTAGATGGGCAGTTACTACTTAATTTAGTTCTACAATATGGTTTGTTAAACATATATATCCCTCTAAGGTCATAATTACTTTCCCTTACGCTGAACGTAGCTTGTAAAGACTGAGGGAGGGTTTGTTGTTTTGCCATATAAATAAGTTTAGCAGTACACAAGTCTACCAAGCTCATGACTGCTTTTGACCGGTTGTAACCAACTTCCCCATTCACAGTATTTTAAGCAGTTTAATGTCTCTTCTCTTAGAAAACTAAATCACCCTAACTCAATAAAAATACAGAAAACACATCTGATTAAAATACAAAGAATCCCATTATTGCTTTCAGCTAAACAAATCAGAATTACACCCTGATTACGCAAAACTATCAATGCCTTAAAATCAAAACATGGATCTTTATATTTTGAATACAATACTTGACTAAACAGACTAGGCATTGATCAAACATTAATTATCAGTCAAATCGTTACTTTACTGCGATGGACTGGCGACCTGTCCAGGGTTTACCCCGCCTTCGCCCGATTGCTGGCTGGGATTGGCTCCGCCCCCCGTGACCCCGTTCAGGGACTAAGTGGTAGAAAATGTATGAATGAATCGTTACTTTATACATGAAACCACAATTTTCTACTTTCCTTAAAACTCTGTGTCCTTTCTCTGTCACACAAACCACAGCACTTCCTCTTTTGTATGGATGTGTCTTACTTCCCTTTTCTCCATGATTCAGCATTTTCACTTTCTACAATTTAGATTCTGAATGTACTTTAGACTTCTAAATGCACCTTTTTCAATACAATCCCTTAATTTTTTTCTTGCACATTCACTGACTTTAAAAAAAAACACACAAATCATCTTCTGATTATCTCAACTTTTCTACTTTATGTATTCTGCCATAGCATTTTAATAATTTTCCTCTCTCCCAGCTCCTCTTGCTGCTCTTTGTAAACATTCTTGCTGTTCTTGTGTGAATTCCAACTGAAAAGAGGCTATTTGTTCAGTACTCCATCTACTGCCAAGTTTGTTACAACGCCAATGTGCTTTTTAAGATTTCTTTGTGAGGTAAATCCTTTCTCACAATCACCAGAACCAAAAGGTTTCTCTCCTGTGTGGACTTTCATGTGCCTTTTAAGATTCCCCCTTTGGGTAAATTCTTTCCCACAGTCATCACAACCAAACGGTTTCTCTCCTGTGTGGACTCTCATATGCTTTCTACGATCACACTGTGTGGTAAATCTTTTCCCACAATCACCACAAGAAAAAGGTTTCTCTCCTGTGTGGATTCTCATGTGCTTTCTACGATGACCCTGTGTGGTAAAGTTTTTCCCACAATCACCACAGCCATAAGGTTTCTCTCCTGTGTGGACTCTCATATGTACCGTAAGCCTCCACTGTGTGGTAAATCTTTTAGCACAATAACCACAAACAAAAGGTTTTTCGCCTGTGTGAACTCTTATGTGTAGCTTAAGCTTACACTGTGCAGAAAATGCTTTTTCACAATAACCACAAACAAAAGGTTTTTCACCTGTGTGGACTCTCATGTGCAGCTTAAGTTGCCCCTGTGTGGTAAATCCTTTCCCACAAGCATCACAACCAAAAGGTTTCTCTACTGTGTGAACTCTCATGTGGATTTTAAGCTTCCCCTGTGTAATAAATCTTTTCCCACAAGCATCACAACCAAAAGGCTTTTCGCCTGTGTGGACTCTTATGTGCCTTTTAAGATCTGCGCGGGTGTTACATTTTGTCCCACAATCGCTACAGCCAAAAATTTTCTCTCCTGTGTGGGATCTCACATGCAAATTAAGCATTCCCTGTGTAATAAATCTTTTACCACAACCATCACAACCATAAGGTTTCTCCCCTGTGTGGACTCTTATGTGGAGATTAAAATGTCCACGTTGGGTAAATCTTTTCCCACAATCGCCACAACCAAACGGCTTCTCTCCAGTGTGGACTTTCATGTGCAGATTAAGATATCCTTGTTGGGTAAATGTTTTCCCACACTCACCACAAACAAAAGGTTTGTTTCCTATGTGGACTCTCATGTGCCTTTTAAGATGCCACAGTTGGGTAAATCTTTTCCCACAAGCACCACAACCAAACGGTTTTTCTCCTGTGTGGACTCTCATGTGATCTTTAAGATTCCCCTGTGTGGCAAATCTTTTCCCACACTCACCACAAATAAAAGGCTTCTCTCCTGTGTGGAGTCTCAAGTGATTTTTAAGAGTCCCCTGTGTGGTAAATCTTTTCCCACATTCATCACAGCTAAAAGGTCTCTCTCCTGTGTGGAATCTCATGTGATCGGTAAGATTCCCCTGTGTGGTAAATTTTTTCCCACACTCACCGCAACTAAAGGGTTTGTCTCCTGTGTGGACTCTGATATGCCTTTTAAGATGCCATAGTTGGGCAAATCTTTTCCCACAAGCATCACAACCAAAAGGTTTTTCGCCTGTGTGGACTCTTATGTGCTTTTTAAGATCTGCCCGGGTGGTACATTTTTTCCCACAGTGACTGCAACCAAAACGTTTCTCTCCGGTGTGGGCTCTGATATGCAACTTAAGCTTTCCCTGTGTGATAAATCTTTTCCCACAAGCATCACAACCAAAAGGTTTGTCTCCTGTGTGAACTCTTATGTGGAGGTTAAGATGCCCCCGCTGGGCAAATCTTTTCCCACAAGCATCACAACCAAAAGGTTTTTCTCCTGTGTGCACTCTTATATGCTTTTTAAGATCTGCTTGGGTGGTACATTTTTTCCCACAGTGATCACAACCAAAAAGTTTCTCTCCTGTGTGGACTCTCATATGCAACTTAAGCTTCCCCTGTGCAGTATATCTTTTCTCACAATTACCACAAGCAAAAAGTTTCTCTCCTGTGTGGATGCTCATGTGTTCCTTGCAGTTATACCCTTTCCCACACTCAAAGCCGTTGAAATAAGTCTGTCCAGCTGAGCTCTTGGCTCCAGGCTCCTCCTTAGTCTGACACTGAAGAGACTGTGAGGACTGAGGTCTCTCCTCATCCTCTTCTGTTTTCACATGAACAGCAGTGGACAGGAACTTGGTGTCATCGGCCTCCTCCAGTCCTTGCAGCTGCTCTGCCTCCTGACTGGTCCAGAGATCCTCTTCTTCCTCTTTCATGTGGTGGAGATCTCGGTCCTCCCGGTCCAGACTGGTGTCCTCCTCATCCACTTCAGTCTTCAAATGGACATTAATGGGTGGGAACTTGGTGTCATCAGCCTCCTCCAGTCCTTGCAGCTGCTCTGCCCCCTGACTGGTCCAGAGTTCCTCCTCTTCCTCTTTAATATGTGGGGGCTCTGGGTCCTCCTGGTCCAGACTGCAGCTCTCCAGAAGGGGGTCCTCTTCTTTAATCACCAGTAGGTGCTGGATGTCTGCAGGGAACAATGTAGTGGTTAACAACAAACAAGGTTCCAGAGGTAATATGTAA